CCCCCCCCCCCCCCCCCCCCCCCCCCCCCCCCCCCCCCCCCCCCCCCCCCCCCCCCCCCCCCCCCCCCCCCCCCCCCCCCCCCCCCACCCTCTGCATCCCGTGGTCGCCACATCTCTGGTGATATATTCGAGACATATCATATTATTACATCAGGAACTCTCTTCCTTTATTTTTCATTGCATCAGTGTCACTATAGTGGATGCACTTCGACCGTAGTTCACATAATATATCAGACAGTGCAAAAGAAAAGACCGGCATACAATGTCGAAGAAGTATGCTTGAAACATTCAGTTATTGTTTTGTCTTTCATTCTACAAAAAACAACTGTTTTTTGGAAGAACGAAAGATTTTTAGCAGGACCATGGTCTGATATGCTAGTTACTCCTCTGAGTGAACATGAGCTGTCGCGAGATTACTAAAGATTTTTTTATGTAAAAGTTTTGTTTTTCTTTCTTCTTCAATATTCGCCTCCATTTCACCCTTTCGTGAGGTCTAAGATCTACAAAATAGAACTGGAAAGCTCTGTCTGCTGAAGATGTTGAACAACTACTCATACGCACCTCGCCGCCACTTTCTAAAACGAATGATACTAGACGGAAGGGTAAATTCATCTGAAAGCTCCCATATTTAACAAAAGCTTTTCCGCTTTACTTAAAACCACTCTATTTTTAAAGAGCACATTGAGTTATGTAAGAGAATGTATTTTCTGACTTAATAGCTGATGCAGCAACCGAGAAATATGACTATTATCCTTTCAGCAAAATTATCGGTTTCGGCGTCACTCTTAGTGCAAATTGATAAGTGGCGCGATGAATTTTACAACATGTTCTCCCTTTTTGGACAGAGTGCTTAAGGTTATTATTTTAGAGTGGAACAAGAACTATATTCTCTATAACTAGGGGTGAACTATATTCCACCCTAACTTTGAGGAATATCTCATGTAAAGTTCACGAGCTTTTAAAAATGAAATATATTTCAGCTTCATGTCGTTATTTTCAACTTGGGTTTTAGTTGTTAGCTGGGTAGTTATTATACCATAATAACAACTTCAACTGCCATATAAAAGTTCGGAAACCCGCTACTTTATGGGTCATAATCGAACTCTTTATGTAAGAAAACCTACGGAATGCCGTTTTATCAAAATGGAAGCTTAAATTCTATAATGTTTTTAGACATCTTCATACATCTTCGTGTTAGAAAGCAAAAATATAAGTATATATGCAGTGAATGAGAATAACATAAAAGTTAGATTCAACATTAAAAATTCGAAAATGAAAACTCTAAGAAAAACAATACATGTTCCAAAAACAAAACATTTTTGGAACTTTTTCTGCGCTTTTTTGCTCTAAGGTCTATTGATTTTTCTGATTTTTGTGCTTTGGATCAGGTATCCAGTTACTGAATACCTATCGTCTTCGTAATTGGTTTAACTGTCTCAATGAGCGACTTACGAATTGTCTCGCAATCTTAATGGCATCCTCGAAAGACGATGATTTCCGTTCTCTATATCTAAATATATGAGAATAATTGTACAAAGCTCGTACTATTTATACACGACTTTATCGAACCGTTCTAGTATCATCTAGTGGCGTAGCTACCAGGTGGGCTCAGCCACCCGCTGAAAGTTTTAAAATTCACACTACTCTGCGCTAATGTCTACCACTTTGAAAAAATTTGAGGTAACACCCATCCACTAACAACATCATTTGGGACAACGTCTACTCACTAACAAAATCCTGGCTACGCCACTACTATCATCTGCAAATATCTCGATTCAAACCTCCTTAAAATGAAAATGATGTTAAGAAAAATATTTGACATACAAAAAAGAACCATACACCATATTGAACAGCAAGAAAAATCAGCCGATAGCTTTTTGAATGCTCATAGCACGATTTGCTAATGCATGAAAACACATATACAACAATTTTTATCAATCACAAGATTCGTCTTATCTGCTGTAAAAATGGATCAATGTATCATACCCCCTGCGTTTTCATATTTTTATTCCAAATTATTTTCATGAGTGAGCCTTGGATGTGTGTAATTGACATCGTGCATCAATAAATACAGACTATTTTTCATTTTTATTATTTCAGACTATTTACAAGATGAGTTTGGTGTTTAAATAATAAGTAAAAGAAAATTTAATCCAATTACATATGTATATTTTAAAAAAAGTGGTCAAAAGTAAAGTGAGCGAGAGACAAGCAAAGTACTGCTAACAGCAAACGTACACAAGGATAAGAATAATAAATGTGCAAAAACAACAAAAATACAAGATTCAATTTCAACCACAACATGTGGAGAGGGAGAGAGAGAGAGAGAGAGATACATCAACATGTTATAACAGTGAAAACTAAAAAAATAACAACAATGCTATAGACGTAATTAAAGTGCAGGCATGTAAAACTGTATTAAGTGCAAAAAAAATAATTAAACAAAGTTAAATCCGAAAAGTGAGCGTGCTACTTTATACCTTTTCAAATGAGTATTTAAACACGTAATGTATGTGTTGAGACAGAAGAAGAAAGGAGAAAAAAATTTGTTTCCAGTCTCTAACATAGAATGCAAACCCAAACTTCTACTAATATAATTTTTTCTCAATTAATTCTTATTTGATGGGAAATTGTAAGGATAAACGTACGTGAATATTTAACAAACGATATGTTGAAAGTATAAATAAGATTAAAACAAAATAAGAAAAAAATGAGAAGAAAAAAATTGCACGTATGCGATTTCTCTTTAAATATCTGAACAATTGATTTTCTTTTTTACCAGTTAGATGACAGTTGATGGTAATTTATCGTACGGTGGACCAACAACTGTCGATGATGATTGTCCTCCACAATGAGGAGATTGCTGTTGTTGAACAGTTCGTCTAGGAAGAGTATTAGTATGATGGGGAGAAATAGCTGTTTGATCCGATAAAAATGAATTATTATTATTATTATTGCTGTTCATATTATTACTAGTACTACTGTTATTATTCGTCAGTTGTTGTAAAACATTTGCACATTCAATATTATTTGACGCATAAGCACATTGAAGAGGAGTACGACCAGAACTATCAGCTAAAAATGGATCTGCTCCATACTAGAAAAATAACAAAGAAAACATTCTCCAATTTTCTTTTTTTACATAGTATAAAAAAAAAGAAAAAATCTTACCCAAAGTAGTAATTGTAAAATGGTTACATTTCCATTAGTGGCTGCTAGATGTAGTGGTGGTAATGTTGATGAACGTTTATCAAAAATTAAATCATCTAATTTTGGATGATGAGCTAATATTAAAATAATTATAAATAAATCTGTTCTATTAATAGCATCAATCAATTGACGAGAGAGTGAAGACGATGGATTAGATAACGGTAAAGATGCTAAAAATAATTTTTGTTCATATTTATCACGAATCCATCGTTCTCGTTCGGATCTAAACAGAAATAAAAAAAAAAGAAGAAATTAGAATACTAAAATACTATTGTTCTAATCTATACTTACAATGATGCATTTGGTAATGGTTTCTGTCGTTGTCTAATATTCGCTTCCCAAATTGAATTAGCTAGTTTATTACCAAGTGAACGCATCACATGCATCAGTTCAGGTCTTTAAAACAAATTAATAAAAGATTTATTACAAATTTGAGGTTTTTATTTTTCTACTGAAAAACAAAAATTTCAGAGATTACATTATACTTACGGCCATTCATCTAATTCTAACGATCTTACACGTGATAGATGAGTACCCAAATTTCGATGTAACGATGCACAATCCATACAAATTAATGCACCTAAATTTAAACTAGCCCAATTTGGATCTTAAAAAAAAAAAGAATAAATTATTTTATTATTTTCATTTTCTTTCATTCATCTATTTACTTGTTTGATCACAATCAGCACAATGTGAATTTCCTGGCATTTGTTTAATCGTTTGTATCATTCCTTGATCAGCCAATTGTGATTGACCACCACCATTTTTGGCTGCACGTTGAGCTTTTGAACTTTCAATATTTTGTAGTGAAAATAAAATTTGTTGTTCAATCGCTTGTACCCATTCATCTCGTTCTTCTTGTGTATTAGCTTCAAAATGCCATTGTTTATCAATACTTATTAGAATAAATTCATTTTCTTCACCATCATCTTCCAATGGTGTTTTCGATTGTACACCATTAATATTTGGCGTATTCGTTAAATTACTTATCATACTTGATGCTGATGATTCTTGCCCTTGTTGTTTTGAATTACTATGAGTAACTTTTAACATTCGACGATAACGTTTTTTAGCATTGGGTGTCTCAATTTTAGCACCTATCGGAGAAGAAACAACATTATCAACACCATTTAAACCTAAAAGAGAAAAGTAAAGTAAAATAATGTAGAAATAATATAACAATATCAATAAGTAAGAAATGGATGAATTTTTTTTCTCATGCAACAGCGAAGGCAACAATAGTTTTAGCTAAGCAGCAACAACAGTAAAAGTCTTACCATCCAAAAGAAAATTTTCATTCAATAATAGCCAATCGGAAGAACAGAAAGAAATAAAAAATAAATATTAGAAACAGATCACTTTTTAAAATTTTTTCAACTGTTAAACTAACAAAACATACAATCTAGTGCACTATTTAGCATTCACAAAAATTCATTCGAACTAAACTTTCGACATGAGATCTTATCTTTAATCATCTGATGAGTCGTAAAAATAACGAAAAAATACTCAATTCATAAATAGAAAAAGATCATAACACTCATTAACGAATATCAAAGATAAGAGTTCTGATAACATTCTCTATACATATGCTATAGAAATATGCTGCAGATAATTCAACATTTACTTTTCAACATTATATATGTTTTCAGTTTTGGAAAGTCAAGTACATACCAGGAGTAACGTTCGAATTCGAAATGACTACAGCATCGGATAAATCATTTAATTTTGTATCATTACTTGTACTTCGCAAAGCAACACGAGATTTATTTGTACCAGGAATTTTTATTGTTGTTCGTTGTAAAATAATCTCTTTACCATGTACATCATGTTCATAATCCTAAAAGAAAAAATACCACACTACTTAGTACATAACATTCATAATAGATAATAAATTAATTTTTTTCTTACAATTAATTTCTATACTTACATTTAATGATGGATGATAAATGAGTCGTCCATCATCCAATAATACAACATATTTCTTTTTCCATTCTCGATTAATACTGTTCGTGCCTTTTTTATATAAAAGACCCTAGAAAATAAAATCGAATCATATTTAATCTTTGAAACCATAGCTTTGAGTAAAATATTACGCTCATTTTACCTGTTTGATGGGAATTGCTCGTCCGTGTCCTACTCGATCGGCTTTATTTTTATCATCATCTTTTTTTCCAGGCTAAAAATAAAATAGCAGACATAAATAGCATCGTATTTATAAATATTTCTTATCCTTACAGTGAATAAATTTGATTTTCGTTTTGTTTCTTTTCGTTTTTGTGTAGGTGTTGATGTTGGGGTCAATGATTCATTGATCTAGAATAACAAACAATGTAAAACGAATATTGTTCAACTTGAGAACTCTCTCTCTGTCTTTGTCATACTGATCCGGTTTGTTGTTGAGGCTGAGCTTGTAACGAATGTTGTTCACTTAATGCACTTAACTTTGCTGGTTCTTTAAACGATCGACTTCGTTTATCGAGTTGAAGTGCGGTAGTCGGTAATAGTGTTGAACGATCTTTAAGACCATTTGACTAGAAGACAATAAATAATGATAAATCGATTCTCAATTAGTGAATACACTATATTCGTTAAAAATTTTCTAGAAATTTTGATTAAGACGCAATAACTAGCTCAAATTTTAAACGTATTCATTGAGTGCTTCTTAACTAAGCTTCAATATAGCTCAAAACATAAAATTGATCAGAAATTCTCCGTCGACTTACTGGTCCAATAGTGTTGTTAATACATTGTGCTAGTTGTGCCACAGCCATATTTGGTTGTGCTCCGACTCCTGATGGAATTTCTTGTCCTTGTTGTTGTTGGTAATGATAAGATGAGAAGACGGATGCTGGTGCTGTTTGAGCAAGACTATTGCCGACAATATAAGATGTTGGCACACTTTGACTATTTGTTATTAAACGCTGCGATTGTGCTTGAGATTGCTGCTGCTGTTGTTGTTGTTGTTGTTGTTGTTGTTGATGAAAAGGAGTAGGATAAGAATTTGATAGATAACTAGTCGATGATGTTGTTGTTGTATTACTATTCGTTGATCCACTTGACGAATTTAAAAATGATGTTTGAGGGGTTAATGAGCGATTAGAGGTAATTGACGGAGGTATCGCTGAACTATAACGTTGTTGAATTATTTTTTGACAAGCTAAATGGAAACATAAACAAATTGACTACTGTTGATTGTTAGAGAAAAAGATCGTCTATCAAGCATAATAAACAGACAATTAATAAAATCTGATTCAACTGCAAACGTTATTCGCTCACATTAAAAACTACACAACAGTCTTTTTTCAGTAGATCTAATTGAAAAATCATTGTAGATGAAATATTTTTTATTAATCGTTATTATTTGTCTGTTCGTGTTTTCATCTTACCATCATTAAAAACTCTTTCAACATTAAGCCCGTATGTAGCACATGTTTCATAGTAAGAACATCGTTTTAATTCATTTGCTAATTTTCGTGCTCGTTCTTCATGTATACATCTTGGATTACTTTCACTTATGGCATCTTGTGTACCAACTAAAATAAATGGTATATCCGCTGTATTTCTATAATGATTCATTTTTGTATAATATTGATAAATTGTCTTGAAACTATCTTCATTTTCTAAACTAAATACAAAGATAACGGCATCCACCCAATGAGTGAACTAAAATCAATGAAAAAAAAAATTAAAATCTAAAATATCCACACTCCCTTATACTTTATTCACCTGTATATCGGGTGCAGAGCCTTCATCTCGAATTAACAACAAAAAACTATGATTATCAATAACAATTTCTTTTTTAAATCTTCCACCTAGTAATAGATAGTTTTGATCTATTTTGATCAAGAACAGTAAATATTAGACTCTACCTTCTGGTGATTCTTCTTGCATATATGTTCCAGTAAGAAATCGATGTACAAGAGCCGATTTTCCACTTGATACAGTACCTAATAGACCAAGGCGAATGTCTAAGACACTACGACTCAATGTCCATTCTTGACTGTTAACGAATGAATCTAAATCAAACAAGCAAAAATGCAAGGATGACTAAAGAAGAGAGCAATGAGATGAAAGAAATCGAACTTCACCTTCAATAATCATGACATGATCTCTAACTTGACTTTGCACAGCTGTGTCTTTAACATCATCTATTAATTCGTAGATTGCATATATTGATGGATGAACACCTTCGAATCGTTCTATTTCAGCTTTGATAAACGATGAATTTGTCATTTGAATTTGAGCATTTATTGGAGCTAACAACGGAGAAGTTCCGACAGCTGAATTCGATAAATGAGGAAGATTTGGTTGTGGACGATTCATTATGATATATTAGTTAAGGCTAGAAAATTACAAAAAAATTATTAATATTGCTATTGATTTAATAATAATTGAATGAGCTCTTACATTAAGGATCCTCGCCTCCGTTTTTCGAGTAAAAATAATCGATTTGTAATTTGCTCTTTCCTTTGGGAAAATTTCTCAGACTAAAGCGAAAACCGCATACTCTGCATATACTAGCACGGGGCTCGGCATGTGTGGCATATGCTCTTACACACTTCCATCAGATAGTGAATGGTTGATAACCTACAGATACACTAAACAGGCAGCTATAATATACACTGTCAAGGCAAAAACTACAAGTCAATATTGTTCTGCGTTTTTCTCAAAATGTGTTTTCTAACAGTTCCTTCAATTAAGTCACATTATGACCACTCGAAAAAAATGGTTCAATTGAGCTGAAATTTTTACCACGGATACTAAAGACTCTATTTCAGGTTCTAAATTGTTTTTTAAGTATTTTCAGTTTCAACTTTCAGCCACGTTTTTAAAATCAAACACCGACTTTTTATATAGGATTTTCAGCATTTTTCGACTATCTCAAGAAGAAAAGCATAAAAAAGAAAAATTTAGAATCTGAGATAGAGAGTGAAGTATTTGTAGTAAAAATTTCAACTCGATCGAATCATCTTTTCGAGAGATTGTAATGCGGCTGGATGAAGTTTTCCAGAAAAACCATAGAAGAACATATCAAAAAATTCTGAGCAAAAACATATCATCTTTCCTTCTCAATATTCTATCGGTGGTATAAATTTCAAACCGATCGAACATCGGCTTCCCGGGTTTCCAACAGGGTCAAAAGAGGAGAGAAATATTCTTAATGTGTTTTAGTTTTAGCTGATCAAAAGTCAAAGTTCACGACTACTGTTGTATTTATAATATTAGTTTTTATTTTTTGTTGCTTTTTAACCTTGGTTCTTATATTCTCTTACCCACTACAGACGTTCTTTCCTTCCAATAAAACATTTTGAAATCATTCCAGTTCATGAAATAGTTATCATCTGAAAACCAAAAGGAGGAATAATTATGGCCAATTAGCAAGAAAAATAATTATTCAACCGGAACATTGATTAAGTAATAACGCAAAAATATTATTCAAGGACATATTAAATTTTTTTGTTTTTTCTTACTCAAATGGTCAGTATCTTATTGTTAATAAACGAACGTATATCTTAAACTAGATACCTCAAGGAGGTAAAGTTGAAATCGAAAAAAGTTTTCCCAGATCTCAGCAAATAATACTACACTCTATAATTAACTAAGTTCAACTAAGATTTGATCTCTCCTCGGCAATAAATTATGATGCGATATTCTATAAATCAATTTAAAAGCATTTCTATGTTTCATGCGTTCTTCAGTTCGGAAAAAAATTTCACATAGATAAATTATTTTTCTGGAATGAGTAAAAATTCTTCACTCAAGACAAATGACACAAAGATGAGTTGAACACTGATTACATGAAACTCTTTTACCGTATTAAAGTCAATTAAATCGAATATCGCTTTCCGCTATCACAAGTGGCCGATCATTTTGTCTTTATATGACTACACTGTACAAAAAACTAATGGAAAAACAAGAAATCTGTGGTACATAACATTTTTACTGTTAATCACTGCTCGCAACGTATGACCACTGTTGATTGCAATAGTCGATCAAGTTTTATATCTCTATCAGAAACCAGACGAAATAAGTAGAATCGTAGAGAAATTCCATGAGTAAACCATTTTTCTAGTACTGAAGCACAACCATAAGATTAAAACAGAGAAAATCAATAATATTAACTCTGAATTTAAGCAATCATTTCTTTTTAATTACAAGTGGTATTTAATGCGTCTCATATCCTAGTTTTATAAATCTTTAAATGATTTTCTCTGTACACATAACAAAAGAAGACGAATAAACTGTTTTTTGTACTATACAGATCGTACTTCTTATGTGTTTCTATCCATTCCTCTTGAACAGGCTTGGTATCGAACAATCTGCAGGCTAATCTAGTAGAGTTCTGTTTCGCTGATTCAATCTCGAGCACGCCCTTTCGGGTTCGTGTTGGGGAGAGATCGGAAAATATTGTTTTCCGTTTGATATTTCGCTAACTCCTTCGGAAAAACGTTCATCTATGATAAAAATCTGTTCATAAGTGAAAAGAAAGCAACAAAAAAAGTCAATAGCTACTAATAAACCTATATGATTTGAATTATTGTTAATTATCACAACAGAAAGAAAGATATAAAACTTGAGCTTAAGTTGAGAAGTGAAAAAGGATTCGGGATTGAGTTTGATAAAAGTTAACCACGCAAGGCTCTATAGTTCGGTGTTGATCTTCCTCGTTGATTCAACTGTTCAGTATGATATAAAAGCGATAAAAAGAAATAATTATTAATAAAAAGACAAACAGAAAATTTCCAGTGCAATTTAATAAGATAACTCTGTAGAAGAGTCAAGATGAGGAAAAGGTAAAAATACCAGGTAAAAAATCTAAGTAATACATTACTAAATTCAATCACTCTGAAATAAAAAGTCATTTTGATCTTTGCAAAGTGTCGACTGCTTAGAACGATGAATTCATTTTAAGAATACCTTCAGCAATGATTTACAACGCTGTATCATCCTATATGCGTTGAAATAAACAAAAAAGAAAATATTCACTTCTTTGTTTACATAAACAACTGGTCGAATGCAAAAATCGTATTATTCAACAAGACGAATGTCACGCCAAAATATAGGAAAATCTTCAGTTGTGTTGACACGCAAGATCTGTTGCTTGAACCGGCAAAAATGATATTATATTCAGAACCGTTAACAGGAGTCGAGCACTAGATGGGTGTAAAATTGGATATCTCTCCTTGGTAGTGTGGAATCCATGAAACGAGAGTTGTCTGAAGTAGAATGAAAAAACAACAACATCTTCAATTAGTCGAGGGACGCGCACCCTCATATTATTTGGGATCCTGATTATATGATGAGAGGAAACTCGTGACAGCAAAAGTTCAAGGTAGACTCGCATAAAGCGACGGCTTTTCTTAACATCGCGAAATAGACGGTTTAGTTAACGTTAAAGACTTTCAATTCACTGGGATGGATGTGACATTGTGTAAAACATTTACTTGTAGTGATAGCTTTGCAACGGATTTCATGACTTTTTTGGCAGTGTGAACGAGGATTAACGAGCCAATAGCTAGCTATGCCTTAAAAGTAATTCAGGAATGCAAGTGTTAACTACCCAAGACAGCTCAGGTTATTTATCAACAGCTGGACTTAATAATCTTAAGTGTCCGATACACTCTCTTACAGACAAGTAAATCCAACATTGTTAATATCCGAAAGATAATAGAAGTATCGCTCACATACGGCTGTAACTGTCGATAAACAACAAATATTACAAGAGAGGAGACGTTTATCTGAAATTAATGTCGCTTCACTACAATCATCCAATCACATTATTATTTGACATTGCACATAGAATGATTGAATGAATGGTGAATGAATGAATCACATTTTGCTCTAGCAAAATCTTTCTTACAGTAATAACTATTTTTAAGTTGTCGTTCGATTATATCTTCTAAGATGAGAATGGGCTAGATACTTAATCTCTCGTGGGTTTTTTATCGGTCGATCTTTAACGAAAAAAGCTTATATTTTTTTTGTATATTAGAAATGGTCACCCTGTCCAAAACTTTCATTCTTTACGGTTATTCTTGATTTTCTTTTTCTCATACCAGATCAGACAGGCTCTTTTTTGATAACTGATTTAGAATTTTAACTGTAAAATAAATTCTATCAATAATATCAATGATTTCTGCAATTGTTGCCTATGATGTCTTTCAAATCTTATAGCTTATAAGTTAAATACTGCTGTTCATGATAAGCAGAGATTTAGGCATTAAGTGAAACATTTTTGTTAGAGAAAACTAGTATGAATAGTTTTGATTTATTTCTATTTCACTTTAGAATCTTCTTTCTCATCCATATTTGCACACACAAATTATAGTTTCTTCCTACATATTTTGTAATTTTTATGTATTCGTAACTACCCATTCATCTAATAAAATAATGAACTGGCAACATCAACCAGATGGTTTACAACAAATTTTAACACTTCTGCGTCAATCTCAATCGCCGGATACCCAAGTACAACGTCAAGTACAAGCACGTTTAGAAGAATTAAATCGGTATCCAGATTTTAACAATTATCTAGTGTACATTTTGACAAAATTAACACAAGAAGAAGAAGCCACACGATCTTTGGCTGGTCTTATATTAAAAAATAATGCCCGTACGCAGTATGATCGATTTCCAGATGATGTTAAAACATATATTAAACAAGAATGTTTACAAGCAATTGGAGATAGATCAGCTCTTATTCGAGCAACAGTTGGAATTTTAATAACTACAGTAGTTACTAAAGGTTAGCAAACAGATTTCATTCGGTTCAACGATTTTCTTTGTCATATTCACTTCTGAATGCTTACCTGATTCGTTATTCCTTATATTTTAGGTTCTTTACAACAGTGGCCAACTCTATTAGAACATTTATACCTTTGCTTGGATTCTCCCGATATTAATATGTGTGAAGGTGCATTTGGTGCACTACAAAAAATATGTGAAGATTCGGCTGATCAATTAGATTCTGATATGAGTCAACCGTTAAATGTTTTAATTCCAAAATTTATTCAATTTTTTCTTCATTCACAACCCAAAATTCGCTCACATGCGATTGCATGTGTTAATGAATTTATTACACCACGTGCACAAGCACTCATGAACAATATTGAAAAATTTTTAGAAAATTTATTTCAATTAGGTAACTCATTTATAACAGAAATTGAGCATAAGAATCATAGTTTATTGCTTTTTTTTTCAGCTAATGATACGGACGTTGATGTTCGAAAACATGTTTGTCGTGCATTAGTGATGTTAGTAGAAGTACGAATTGACTATCTAATTCCTCACATGCAACAAATAATCGAGTATATGTTATTAACATCTCAAGATCAGGATGATACGGTGGCATTAGAAGCATGTGAATTTTGGTTAATGATTGCCGAGCATCCTATTTGTCGTGATGTTATTCAACCTTATTTAGATAAATTATTACCTGTTCTAGTTAAGAATATGAAATACTCCGAACTAGACATTGTTATTTTGAGGTAAGCAGATAAACAAATGTCGGATAAAGAAAACATGGATCCTATGAATGCTTAGGATATCTGAAAAGTGAAGAATCTAATAAAAATTAAATCGAAATATTTTATAAGTAGAGAAATGAATAAGATATGATTGTTTAGAGGTGATGTGGATGAAGATGAACATATTCCAGATCGTGTTGAAGATATTCGTCCTCGATTTCATCGTGCTCGAACACGGCAACATTATGGAAGTGGTGATCATACAACACTCTCATTATCATCACCAAATTCAACCAATCCAAACTCGACCGATACAAATAACAATAATACGGAACAGAATAATCATGTTGAAGATGAGGAGGAGGACGATGATGATGACGATACCTCAGGTAAATGAACGAACTTTAGGATTGAGCAGTACTTCAATATCAGTAATTTGTGTATAACAGAAGCTAAGTACATATATAAGTTATATTGGTTTAGGCACGAATGCTGATCAAGCAACTGAATGGAATTTACGTAAATGTTCAGCAGCTGCTCTCGATGTTTTATCTAATGTATTTCGTGAAAGTATCCTACCCACATTATTACCGTTATTACGTGAAATGTTATTTCATCCAAATTGGGAAATTAAAGAATCGGGTATTCTTGTTTTGGGCGCAATAGCTGAGGGATGTTCATATGGTTTGACACCACATTTACCCGATCTAATTCAATATCTTATCACATGTCTTAATGATAAAAAACCTCTAGTAAGATCGATCACATGTTGGACACTTTCGAGGTATTCATCATGGATTGTACACAACGATGTTCAACAACAAAAATTTTTAATACCGCTCATGTCAGAACTGTTGAAAAGAATTTTAGGTAAGTGAATGTGCAGTATCTTGATAACGTGTTTTATCCTCACCAATCTAACTGTGAATCATAGATTCATGTGTTTTGTGTTTTAGATGCGAATAAAAAAGTTCAAGAAGCAGCATGTTCCGCGTTTGCTACTTTGGAAGAAGAAGCGTGTATTCAGATGGTGCCGTATTTGAAACAAATACTAGAAACACTTGTTCATGCATTTCGTAAATATCAAGCTAAAAATTTGTTGATATTATATGATGCAATTGGTACATTGGCAGACAGTGTTGGAAACCATTTAAATCGTCCTGAATATATTCAAATTTTAATGCCGCCACTTATTGAACGCTGGAATGCATTAACAAATGATGATAAAGATCTATTTCCACTGCTGGAATGTTTGTCATCGATCGCCACAGCGCTACAACAAGGATTTTTGCCCTATTTTGAACCAGTATTTGTTAGGTGTATTCTACTTGTCCAACAAACGATTGAAGCATCAACACCCGCAACGACGGCTCAAGGAACAAGTCAAGGACCAGAACAAACAGATAAAGATTTTATGATTGTGGCGCTAGACCTGTTATCTGGCTTGGCGGAAGGCTTAAGTGAGAAAGCGATCATTGCATTGATTCAGGAACAATTATTTACTTCAATCTTTTCGTTTTTAGGCTCAAATATAGATCAGTTAGTTGAACAATCCAATTTGTTAACATTATTAGAACGTTGTGTACAAGACCCAATGGCCGAAGTTCGACAAAGTTCATTTGCCCTTTTAGGTGATTTGACAAAAGCCTGTTTTCGTCATGTTCGTCCACATTTACCATTTTTTCTCCCAATCCTATCGCAAAATTTGGATCCGCATCATGTTAGTGTATGTAACAATGCAATATGGGCAATTGGAGAAATATCGTTAGAAATCGGTCAAGAAATTCAACCGTATGTACCACATATTCTAGATCAATTGATAATGATTATAAACAGATCGAATACACCAAAAACATTATTGGAAAATACAGCTATTACTATTGGACGATTGGGTAAGACAGTTTGCCTCGAAATCTTGTATTATATTCTTACGCTTTCTTGCTGATTTTTCAGGTTTAGTATGTTCTCAATCTGTCGCGGCTGAATTACAACGTTTTATTCGGCCTTGGTGTATTGCATTACGTAATATTCGCGATAATGATGAAAAAGATTCAGCATTTCGTGGTATTTGTAATATGATTGTATTAAATCCATTGGGTGTTGCAAATGAATTTATTTATGTATGTGATGCGATTGCATCGTGGGAGAAACCACCCTATGAACTACATCAAAAATTTCGTCAAATTTTATTAACATTTAAACAAGAATTTGGGCAAGATCAATGGCAACAATTCACAGATAGATTTCCTATCGCACTTAAACAACGTTTACAAACACAGTATGGTGTTTGAGCTATAATAACAGTTTTTTTTTAAAATTTTTTTTTGTGTGCTTCATTATATGTTTCTTTGCTTTCTTGTTCTCGATTTCAGTTTGCCGTAGTAAAAACCCGGATGTGTCGTTCTATGCCTAACCTGCAGGCAATCATTCATGTGTGTTATCAGACGATTACTATGAAAGAATCATTTTAATAAAATTGCAACTTTTTGTTGCTTTCTTTGAAGAGAATACTTTTGTCTGGTGTGATTAAAAGGCGAAAATCAGTTGTTATCTTCTATTTTTTTTATTGGCGATTTATATGTTTTGTGAACTATATTCTCGTAAAAGCATAACCGTAGCCGTGTACTGATTTTCCACTTTAATTTTTTTTTCAAAAGCAACAGCTAGTCTCGTTATCCAATGCCAGCTCTTTATGCATCGTCTATATCCCTCTTAGTATACGAATTTGAGTGTTTGATTCTAATTCTCGTTATGTACAGTCATCAACAAACATTGTTCCTTTAAGATAATATGTCTTAGTCAAAAAAACACGAGTATATTTATTTCTTTTCTCTCATTCTCTTTCGCAAATGGTGATAAATTTTTCTTTCCTTTATCTTGTTATTGCTATTGTATAATTTTTCTTTTCGTTTATCTACCCCTTTCAGTTACATAAATAGGAAACGACTAAAATCTTCTTCGGTTAGTGTAACTACCCACGTTCTAAATAGGCTCATTCTGTCTCAAGCTGTTTTTTTTTAACGTATGTTTTTTAGATAACCACATAAAAACTCTGTTGTTGTTGTTTTTTATTCAATGACTAATTATACGAGTGTCTGTGTGTGTCGTGTTGTCTTGCATGAAGTTATTTGATGACCTCTTTTGTTGTTTGTTTGTTGCTTTTTGACGTATATATACTTAAACACACACCATATATATATTTTTTTTGTTTCATTTTGTTTTTTTTTGGACACTAAAAAAACAAAATCTACATGATGATGATTCTTTTTTGTATTTGTCAGAAAAAAAGAACAAAAAAAGCATACTAAGCGAAGAATAGTAGCATGTTTTACTGTTTTTTTTTATAGATTTCAGTGCAAGAATAGGGGAGTGTGTGTTTTTCAGAACAGATACTCCACAGACTTGAGCATAATCGAGTTACATTACATAGTTCTTATATTGAGTTCTATAGGCTTAAATCGAACTTAAGATTAGCAAAACCCTGTCGCGTTTATAAAAATACGCTTCATGTATCAAATGCTTATTATTATTTAAATACCATTTATGCTATGTGGTTGTTGCATTTCTTTTAGACTGTTTTTTCGGGTTTGATCGATTTTTGTTACACACAAAGAAAACAAAAATGGATTTTGTTACTGTATTGTTATGTTTTTTGTTATTTTTTCTTATAATTATATTTATTCTGGGTGGTATGACATATTTTATATGGAAATCAAATTCTCAAATAATCGAAAACAATCTTGATTTTAATAGTCAGTCTCAATCATCGAATCTCCGTAACAGTCGAAATAAACAGCGAAGTGCTAGTAAGAAAAAAGCAACAGGTACGACAATAACAACGACGACGGCCGCTACTACACGAAAAGAAAAGAAAAAAGCAATGAAAAAGTTACAACAAGAGCAATCAAGGATTGAAATGGAAACATCTACAGATTCTTCAAACGACGACATGAGCAGTGAACGAACAGAAAAACAAGAGCAACATGCAGAACCAGTAACTATTAAAAATCGTCAAAAAGCAAAACCAATCGAAGATGGAAAAGACGTGAATGTGTCATCAATTCAACAGCCAACGCCGCCGAAAAAACCTCAGGCCAGTGTAGCTCCTACAGCACATGTCGTTGTTCAAACAAAACCAGTACAACAAGGTGGAAATAAATCAGTACAACAGCAGCAAGTCAAACAAAATGATGTCAAACCTCAACAAAATCAAGTTTTACCAATACCACAGCAACAACAACTTGTGAATAACAAAACACAAAGTAGTCAACAATACGTATCGCCACCTACGTCGGTTGACAATAATGAACAACAAGGTAACTGCATTTTATCTCATTTTATTCTCAAAAATCTCATAATACAATTATCAGTTCGATTGATCGAGTCATACTAATGGTTGAAATTTAGAAACTAATCTGATCAAAAAAAGGAAATTGATTCTGCTACTATAGACAGCGAGCCACTAAAAGCTTTAAACTGCAGCCACTCCTGCTTCAACTTTTCTAGTATATAGCAGTCGTAACGCAGGAATGGCATAATAATGAAGGAAAGTATATTATAGGTTTTCTCCTTACTTTTACGTTTTTCTGTGAAGACATCTAATTTTTTTGTGTTTAGTCACTTCATTGTCTCAAACTGCGCCGGTAAGAAACCCAAATATAGTGCAGCAAGATCTAAGTCGTCAACGTTTACCACCTCGTCAACAACGATCAGCAACAAATATTCAATTATCATCTCAACAACAACAAAATTCTGATCAACAGCTTGGAGTTGATTCACGTGTAGATGATTTCATACAGACTGAACATGCAGCTAGTATTCAGCCATTATCTGCGCTGCTTCCACAACAACAACAACAACAAAGAAATCCAGCTAACGATCAACAATCACAATCGATGCCCGTGCAAGTAGCATTAACAGGTCCTGTTCAATCATCACCAACAGTTCAACAAAATAAACCGCAAATAAATGGATTCACAGAATCACAGCGCACTCAAGAGTTTCAAAGTGCGGACAGTAAGTTTTGTTACAATAATTTTAATTTTTTTTATCAACAGTATGTTTTTGTGTTTTAGCCATAAGAAAGGTTCAGCCATTATCACCACCACAACAACAATCCATATCTTACGTACCCTCAGTTAAAATGGAAAGTTCATCGTCATCTTCTCCTACTACTGTTGTTACATCTAAGATAAAAATGATTGATCTAGTCAAAGCATTGCCATCGACACAAGCTCTCGTTGCTGAATTAATGTTAATATTTGATTCAATGCCATTATCGTACGATGAACTCGAATTAATTATGTACAAAATCGCCAATAAGCAATGTCTTATTAAACATGATTGGAATCGTTTATTTGAAAAAGGACAAAAAGTTGATCCACGTGAACATATAAATTCAATTATGTCTGACACATTAAGAACTGAAATGGCATTGATCGGTCAAGAATTACAGCAAGAAAAAAAGACGACACAAGAGCTATGCAAACAATTGCAAGATAAAGAACAATTATTAAGGTAAGAAAAATAACGAGGGTTATTTACGATTATATGATGCACATTGAAAATGATTGTTTAATTTATTGTAGACGTTATTCATCTCAACCACCGCCTGACTATATTCCGTCTGCTCAACATCAAAATCAGTTAATTGGTCTTCAATTACAAATCCGTCATTTACAAGATGAAAATCAACAATTACTTCATCAGATTAATAAACAGTTTCTTATTCATCCGCTACCACAACCTCTTTATGAACCTCAATATAGTGGTCAACAACGGTCCAATGAAAGTTTACAACAACAAATAAGTATATTAACAAATCAACTACAACAGATGACTATTAAAAATGTTACGTTAGAAAAACAATTTAAAGAATCTGAAACAGTCAAGATTTCATTTAAAAAAGGTCAGTTTTGAGAAAATAAGATAGTCTTGTATATTTAATAAACTGAAAGTTTTGAAAATAAACGAAGAAAACCATAATAGTTGAAATTAAAAGTCGTTATACATCATTTGACAGTACTCTAGTTGTTGTTTAAAAAACAAAATAAAGATCGGTAACAGAGAACAAAATATGTTCTAAGTTTATCTATTCAGAATAAATTTGTTACTTCAATAATTTGTTTTGATTTTTAGCCGATATTTTAAATCAACAACGTATTGAAAAACTATTATATGATATAAATAAACTTGAAAATAATGAACAAAATGTATTACAATTAAAACAAGATTTCAATCAACTACAAACGAAATATAATGAATTACAAGAAAAACAAAGATTAGTAGATAAACAAACATTATCAAATGAATCGGAACTATTAAAACAAGAACAGAAAAAATATGATGATCTTGAAAGAAAATATCAAATATTAAAACAAACTTTAACAAAATTAGAAGAGAAAGAAAAACAACAACAAATACCTCACGTTGACATAGTTCAAATTCAAAAACAATTAAGTCAAGAACAAAAATTAATTGAACAATTGAAATTAAATTATTTAGAATTAGAAAAACAATATGAAGTACTCAAGCAAAATACGTGTACAAACGATGATGATTTGCAACAAAAGCAAGAGAGAATTGATCAATTAGAAAAAGAAATTGAAATATTAAAAGGAGAACAACAAGATAAATTACAAGAACAATTGAAACATGAGCAAGAGATTGTTAAGCAATTACAGGAAAAATATTTTGACTTGCAAATACAAAATGAGGCATTCAAACAAAATACTCAAATAAACGATGAATTGAGACAAAAGCAAGCGATAATAGAACAATTAATAGAGGAGAATAAACAATTAAAACATGAAAAAGGTAAGAAATTTTCGACTATAATTTTTCTTTTATATAGTTTTATAAATAAGTTTCTTTTGGAGAATAGAATTTATTGTAAGAAAAGTCTGTCAATTATCATATGTATAGTTAAAATCATGGACATTTTGTTCATAGATCAACGATTTTTACAATTCGCAAGATTTATATTCAAAATAAACATCCTATTTGAAACCAGCATCAAAAAGCGAACATAGAGAGAGAGAGAGAGAGATTGATTAGTGTGTCTTGCAACTGAAATTGTCTGCTGTAATCGAGAACCTTTGTGTTCCCTCAGTCTAACACATCCCGTGGACGAAGCTCAACAAAAACATTTTTGGTGAGAGGAAAAAGTGTTGAGTGATACTCATTTAGATATACTTTTTGATACTGATTTCGAACAGAACGTTTATTTTGAACATACATATTGTTAGAGTATAGAAATCGACAATTTATAGGAACAAATTCATTTATAAGGGCTGAGAACAAGACAAATGACGATGTGACTTCCTAAGCCAGTTTTCAGTGTGTCAGTTCGATTATGTCATACTGTTTCTAACTTACAAAACAAGGCGACAGTTTTCACCTTTTTTTTCAATTTTGACCTAGCAGAGCTTGTCATAAAATTCAACGTTTTAACTTTTAGATATGCGGTTTTTTAACAATGTTCTATTTTCATTGTCGTCAGTCTGTTTTTGGTTTTCAGAACGTTCACTTGAGAGCATCTTTTGCAGCAGTACTTGCCGCTCGCATGTTCTTAACAAGAAACCAGAACTGGAGAAGTTTGAGTTTGCAGTCAAACTTGTTTTCTGACGACTCGCATCGGACGTTTGAAAACATGAATGGAACTAATTTTTTTTCGACATTTCTTTTATGTAAGCATTGAGTTTCTAAATTGGCTATACTTGCAGTCTATCGTAGTAATTCTTCTAATCGTACACAAAATTTCGATTGTTAAATGATGATGAGAAAATAAAAGACTGAGAAGACTAGGGCCTAGCACCTCTGACCAGAACTTGCTCAGCTATATTAGAAACCTAACTTGAAATTTCAGGTTCACCCACTTTCTGTATGTTCTTTTTACTCACATTTGTTTTTACTATTACATAATGTAAGATCATACTTATTTTTTTCTTTAGAACTTTATAACGAACAACAAAATAATTCAAAAAAACTTCAAGATGAACTTGAAAAACAAAGTGAACTATTGAAACAAAGTTCATCTAAATTAGAATCGTTTCAATATCAATTGAAAGAAAAGCAAGAGCATATTGAAAATTTACAATTAAAACTAGTTGATTTAGAAGCACAAAATCAACAAATAACACAACGACTCGACGAGTCACAACAGCAAAAAAATAATGTTAACATTGTGAATAATCATCAATCAAATGACAATAATAATAATAATGAATTATTAAAACAGATACAGTTGTTAACATTGGAATTAGATGAATTAAAACAGAAAAATGATATATTAAGAAAACGTAATTGGAAAGTTATGGATGAATTAAATTTAACTGAAAAATTATTGATCGAACAAAAACAACAAGCAATCAATGAAGAGTAAAAGATGGAACACATTTTAATTGTTATTTTCTTCATTTAACACTATTATTCTTATACTTTTAACATTTTATTTGATGATTTTGTCACTATTTTGCTTTTTAACTATTATATTGTTTAGAAAATGTGTGCTAGTTTAAAACGACGAGAAACTCACAGTGATTTGTGTGTTTATTTTACTTTGTCCAATATCATGTCAGTTAAGTTGTCTGGAATCACTCCAGTTAGTACTCATGTTTACGCAATTTTATACAGCAAATTTAGTAAAATTAAACGTATATGAAATTTTCTTTTAGTTATGCTTGAACTGTAGTGACTTTTAAAGTCACTAATTTGGATAGAAAATATGTGAGCTTAATCAGCGATCTGACTTTTTTTTTTCGTTTTTTTTTTTCAGTTTTTTGTCGTTATTATTGTTGCGCGAGACGTTATTTGATGATAAAATAAAAAAATATTCAAATGGAGTTTTAATTAATGCGTATAGTTCGTATTTATTATTGTTTTTTTCTTTTTAATTTGTGAAGGAATATTACTAATTTTCTGGTAATAGACAAATTATAGATAATCTTTCTGTTTTAAGCTTTTTTGTTGTTGTTTTTTTTTACTTCTTTATAGTGATGTAATCTCGATCATATGTTGTTGTTGTTGTTGTTGTTTGTTATTTTATTGAAAAATCTCACATTCATTCGAACAAATAATCAAAATAAATTATGGTGCAGTTCATAATATTTATACATTTATTTCACACCTACAATTTTGTGGTGGTGAGATAGTTTACAAAGATTCTAACATTCTATCTTAATCTGATATTTTTCCAAGGGGTATGTAGTATATTCAGAATGAGATATAAATTCAGTTAATTACACGCACATGATCCTATAAAATCTGATAAATAAAGTCTTATAAAATCGTGCAAAATCGTATGATATCATGTACGATTTTACAAGTTCTGTTCGAATGACCAAAGATCTTATAGAATTCTTTTATCAGAAAATTCTATAACATCGTATAAAATTTGATGATATCTTGCGCTCTTCTATGACAAGATTCTGTAAAATCGTATGAAATATTATCGTAAGATTCATCATGAAAACTGAAAAACTTGTAGAATATTATTTTGAGTGAGAATAATTTTTGCGTTCTTTTTATTTTTTTAGTTCGATTACGATGTCTTTACCCAGTGATTTAATGAGTAAATTTATTAGTTAATTAATGAGAATTAGAGTATAGACCTGATTTATCAAACGTTCAATATCTGTTTTTCTTTTCTGATTCTTTGCTTTTTGCATTTTATTTTTTCTAAAAGTGTTTGAAGTCAACAAATTTTATTTTTCACTTCTTTTGACAAACTTGCTAGAAACAATAAAGTGACTAAATTCCTATTTTGTACACAATGCATATGCCGACAATCTACTGATTGAGTCTGACAAAAGATAAATAGAACTTTATTCGAATAAAAAAAACTGAAAACATAATTTCAACTAGAAACAATTTTTTAATATATAGCGTACACAATTTCGCAAAAAAAAAAAAAGGAGAAGAATGACACAGATACGGACAATGAGATTATTTATGTGCTATGCGAGCATTTTTTTTGCATATGCACACTGAACTCACATTGAGAAAGAGAAAAAAAAATAGAAGACAAAATATCTTTGTTCAAGTGAACATTTTTTTTTCTTGTTATTATTATATATTATGCTATACGAGATGACACATGTTAGTAAATGAAATGACAGAAGAAATAGTGGTATTCTAAACGGAGTACACTTCAGATATGTTGCACATTTTTCCATTTTATAATAGTTTATTTAACATAGGTACATAAAATGATATATTTATCAAATGTTGGTACATCAAAACGGTACTACAATAAAACAATACTATTTTTCAGAAAAATAGTCAAAATCTTGGTAAAAAGTTCTATTATATAAAATATTTTTATTTTCTATTATTTGTATGAAAAACTAAAAATTCACATAACTCAGTCAAAGTGAGTTCAAAACATTTCAAAATTTCAGAATAAACTCTATTTCATTTACTGAACTCGATTTTTACACTTAACATTAATAAAAAAATTATTCTTTTAGTAAAAATTTTCTGAAAAATCTTTTAAAATTAAAGTACTTTTTATTGATTTTTAACACTTTACTTACTTTACTCCCACTGGATAAGATAGATCATCTATAGATAATGGTTTGAACTTTACTTTTTCACAAATCTTTGTCTCCCTGATACTCTTTACGTAATGACAAAAACCGGAAAGTTTCAATCACTTTTGGCATCAAAGATTATTTTGAAAAAAGATGAAGTTCACTGAATTTTGCGTCTGATAAAAGTTTGCTTCAAAAAAATGAGGATCACCATCTCCACCATAAAAAATTGCGTTACTAGACATAATTTTTTGATGAGTTGATGAGAATTGAAAAATATGCGTCCCGTTTAGTTCTCTCATAGATAGTTGATTTATTCTTCCACTAAAAAAGTTAAATACACATCCTCAATGAGTATTTTTTTGATCATTCGATAGTATCACATATCGATTTTTCTTTATTCATCATTTTTTTTTTTAGATTGTTCATTATTCTATCCGTTTTTGTAATGGCATTTAGCTTTCTTTATATTATCATTTCTTTTTTGTTTTCTCTTCGAACTATGAAGGGGAACAGTCAATTTAGCTCGTTGTTATCATCTTCTGCTCTTTATCTATCTGCAAATCATTTTTCATATTATATTTATTATATCTTTCCTGTAGAACCATTAAAATACGATTTTTTAGAGGATAAAAATGAGTACATATGAAAGAGAATACTTGAGACGATATCTTCATGCACATTTTCTTCGAATTGACATTTTTGACAAAAATCATCATTTCTGACCGGGAGGTGCGAGCTTAAGTGTCTTAAATAGTTGAGAAACGCATCCATCCAATGATGTACACACCGATGAATTTCACAGTCACAGTAGAAAAAAATATTTTTGATTGAAGTCGAAAAGAAAAATTAATTAGTGGGACGTTTAAGGGCAACGATTTTCGTATGACTGATGCAGTGGCTTTTAAAATACGATATGTCTACTTGCTTTCAGGCAATTATTTACTCATCATTTACTCATCATTTACTCATCATTTAATCATTTTTAACGATGCTAAAACTGACTTCAAAATCATACATATTTGTGTCTGATGAAATGAACATATGTAAAGATATTTATTTATTTCATTGAGATGAAAAATTAAGACAGGAACAAATAAATAAATTGTTTTTTTTCAAATTTTGAATTCTACACTTTTAAGATGTAAAAGGTAACACAGTAGTATTATGTAAAATAAAGATTTTAATTACCATTATAGTAAAGCTTCAAAAGAAAGACAGATAATCCTCAAGAAAACTTAGAAAGTAGATGAATGAGAAAAAACCTTTGATTCACGAGGGAACCTCTCGAGATGCCCACTTTCGATTTCAATAAATTGTACATAGATCGATAGACCTCAGTGTGGTAGTAAATATCCCAAAAGGATTCGGGCCCATGATTTTTGAAGACCTTATTTTCTGGAAAACCAGTTTTTCGGAAACTCTAAAAAATAACCAAAACCTTTCTTAAGGAGGCACAATTGTAGCACGCACATTTCTGATTAAAATGAGACATCTTTCAGCTCTCCATGACCTTTCTTTGAAAAGTTATAGAATTTACAAGAGCCCTAAATGTTCATTGTCACCTCAAAGCTACAGAAATAAGAAGAAATTAATTTAAGACTTTTCTTGTAAATTGTATAATTTTGCAAAGAAAGGTCGTATAGAGCTGGGAGATGTCTCATTTTAATCAGCAATTTGCGGGCTACAATCATGCTTCGTTAAGAAAGGTTTTGGTTATTTTTTAGAGTTTCCGAAAAACTAGTTTTCCAGAAAATCGGGTCTTCAAAAGTCATGGGCCCGAATCCTTTTAGGATATTTACTATCTCACTGATTTCTATTGATCCATGTACAAGTCATTGGAATCGGAAGTGGGCATCTCGGGAGGTTCCCTCGTCAGACCTCAGTAAAATCTTGTGTATATCGCTGCATTCCATCCGTTTTTTGATAAATAAGTTTTACCTCTAAGTTTAGAATGTCAATAAGACTAGCCGTATAATCTGTCATTTTAGATCTACAGTTTTATTCTTAATGTGATGAAAAACGAATTAAGAACCGAGTATATTTGTCATGTTAGTACAATCTTATTTACTGTTCATATTTGTATATAAAATTTTTCTATAATAATAACTTATATTTTCCATTTTCTAGACACTGTAAGTTCATTATTATGTTCGGTAATGTTTCAAAATTGTCTTCGTTTAACGATTGTTGTGTTGAATTGATAATGTTAATCTTTGAACAATTAGATTTTTATGAGTTACAATTATCATTTTCTAATTTAAATTCCTATTTAAATAACATAATCAATGATAAACGTCTTCATATTGCTATTAATCTCGCTTCATATGAATCACCGACAAAATTTCAGTATTATTTTAATAATCTCTCAACAAATATTCTCGAACAACGTTTAGCATCTGTAATATTAACATCAAATTATTCAAGTTTATTTCTAGTAGACACATATTATCATCAATTATTTAGATCAATTCAATCTCTAAAATTAATGGATATGAATTTTGAACATTTAAAATCAATTTTATTTAAATTAAAATTAACATATCATTATCAGTTAAAATCTTTACAAATTGAAACATCAAAAATTGATGATAAACCTGAATTAGCTATTATTTATGAACAATTATTTCATTTATCAATAAAATCATCGTCAATCAATTTTCATAATTATGTTTATTTAACAAGTAAGCATATTTTCGAGTTTTTTTTATCTCTTTTGCAATCTTTTAGAAATTATAAATATTTTATAAATCCGATAGTTTTGTTTGAAGTTATTTTGTATTGAATTATTCATAATTTATTGATTTATGTACAATGATTGTCAAATGTTATGAGTATCAAAATGACATAGATAAAGCGCTAGTAATTCAAAAACAATAATACAATAGTTATTTATGTCATGGTTGGATAGAACTAGCCAACTTAAATGAAAAAAATGTTATTTTTAAAATTTTTTATCAAGATTTTCATTCAAAAATTTCGAGACAAACATCATTTGACTCAGTTCTCGATGCTGATTTCAAATATGACGATTGGCTTTTTGCAAAAAGACAAAATTTGGTGATGAAAATCGCGTAGTTTCCCTTATTCTTTGACGTGGATTTTGAAAAAACAACTCAATATAAACCAAAACTGATGTGTACTTTTTTTGAAATAGAATGAAATAGAACAAAACTCTTACTCTTTCAGTCGAAAATATTAGATAGATTTAGACGGTAAACTGTGAGCAATCGGTACTTCCACTCATGTGTCTCAATAAATTTTTTCGTCATTTTAAGTCTTAATTTGATTAAGGTTAGTTTTCTTTTATTAAATTCAATTTTTTATTCATATTCAATTTTGTTTTTATAAAGAATCAGAAAAAAATAGTTTCGGGAGATAGAAATAACGATAAACGTTAAAATTTCGTTTATTTCTAAAAAAATTTCATTTCTGTCTATTGTCAAAATTGGAACTTTTTTCATATAAAAATCTTTTTAAAAAGTTTAAAATTGATAATTTTTCATTCAACTTGACAAGCTCTATCCAACCATGACAAAAAAGCTTATCAGCGCAGACCTTGGATTAAAATGTAATTCCTCCATTCAAACGTGAAGGACTAAGGTGGGGCTGTATGAAATCCATGCCTCGAGAGTGTACGTTTACATTAATTGGTTTTAATTAGATTAAGATGTGTACTTGGGAGTGCGTTGATGTATACTTAGTCATCATTCCACTTGTAACATGAAAACTCATTGAAGATGACATTAACAAAAATAAAATAAAACATAATCAAATAAAAACAAAGCGTATGAGAAAACAACATCCATTATATTTATCAATCTTCTAGTCAGTTTAACAGACACGAATAAGCGGCTTGCCCAGCTCACGGTCTCCTTTTTTCGCTGTTTTTCAAAGAACTATGGTAATAAAGTTAGAAAATAATCTAAAATTACAACTAGATAATT